CAAATCAGCATTTGTAATCGGTGTGGCATTAAAGGCCATTGGGCCAATACCTGCAGAACAGTCAAACACCTAGCTGATCTTTATCAAGCCTTACTGCAAAAAAATAGGAAAGAGGTCGAGACTAATCACGTTAATAACGGTGACGACCCTTATGATGATCTTTTGGATTACGACACAACGCATCTTGATATAGTCGATTTTTTCGTAGATCCAACAAATACCTAGTGACAGACATACTATGTCATTTTATATTATGCTATTTTATATTTTGTAATATTTAAATTATCGCATATTACCTTTTTGTAATGAATTTTGTAATATTTATATTTGCTTTTATTAATACTATGTTATTTATATTTGAAGGTTAAATGGATGTCAATACAATAAGTGGCAGTGCAAAATTAATTGAAGGCTCTAGAGAAGCCATTATATTTCTCCCCGCGGGGACGAAAATTATGATACAATACGCACTGTTGGCCACTAAAGCTCAAAGAAATTTACTAAGCTTTCATGACATTCGAAAAAATGGTTATCACATTGAAACTATGAGTGATACCGATGGTGAAATTTTATTGATCACCAATATCATTGATAAAAAGAAATGCATCATTGAGAGTCTACCCTCACTCTCTACTAGTTTATATTATGTCAAATTAGATGTTGTTGAAACACACCTCACGGTAGATCAAAAGATTACTGATTTTCAAATATGACATGATTTCCTTGGGCATCCTGTAAGTATAATGATGAGGTGAATAATTGAGAATTCGCATGACCATTCATTAAAAGGTAAAAAATTGTTAAACTCAAATGAGTTAACCTGTGTTGCCTACACTCAGGAATAATTGATAACCAGGCCATCGCAAGCTAAAGTAGGTATTGAATCACCTACATTTTTGGAAAGAATACACGGGGATATATGTGGACCAATAGACCCACCATGTAGTCTATTTAAATATTTTATGGTGTTTATTGATGTATCTACTAGATGGTCACACGTCTGTTTATTATCTACTCGCAATATGGAATTTGCGAGATTGCTTGCCCAAATTATTAAATTACGGGCACGATTCCCCGATAATCTAACTAAAACTATATGTCTGGATAATGCTGGTGAATATACATCGAATGCATTTGATGATTATTGCATGTCGATTGGAATTAATGTAGAGCACCAAATTGCTCACGTTCATACACAAAATAGTCTGGCAGAATCACTTATTAAAAGATTGCAATTGATTTTGTAGACCATTACTGATGAGGTCTATGTTTTCTGTTTCAGTTTGGTGGCATGCAATCTTACATGCAGGAACATTTATAAGAATAAGGCCGACAGGCTATCATAGCTATTCCCCAATGCAGTTAGTATTTGGTCACGAACCAAATATATCTCATCTACGTAGTTTTTTGTGTGTTGTTTATGTTCCTATTCCACCCCCAAACGTACAAAAATGAGTCCTCAACGTAGATTGGACATTTATATCGGATATGAATCGCCGTCAATTATAAAATATTTTCAACCTATGACGGGTGATTTATTCACTACATGATTTGCAGATTGTCATTTTGATAAATCATATTTTCCGACATTAAATGAACCAAAAAGGGATATTAATTGGAAAATCCTATTGAATTTTTGTGATCCTCGTACAAAGTAGTGTGAACTAGAAGTTCAACGCATTATACATTTGCAAAATACTGCAAATCAGTTACCGAATGCTTTCAATGATTCGAGCAAAGTCACTCGATCATATATTCAAGATGCTAATGATCTGGCTAAAATAATTGTCCCTAACGGACAAATTGCAAGTGCCAATGAACCAGCAACACACTTAAAGCGTGGTAGACCACTCGGTCCAAAGACAAATATTCTCGAAAGAAAAAGAGGAATGAATGATGATAATCATGAAAATATCAGGATTGACATTGATAAACCTCAATCTACTGAGGAAGTCAACCCTGAAATAATTGCTTCAAAAGAGCACAATCTTAAAGAACATGATGAGATATTGAAAACTCAATTAACTATGTTACTTCAAGAAAATGGTAGAACCGTAACGAGACAATTATTGATAATGCTTTCGCATACAGTTTAACACTTGATATAATGGAAGAAAACGAGAATCCAAAGCCAAAATCTGTTCATGAATGTCAGCAAAGAAATGACTGACCAAAATGGGAACATGCGATTCAATCAGATTTTGACTCATTAAACAAAAGAGAGATCTTCGGACCAATTGTTCAAACACCAGATGGTATAAAACCAGTTGGAAACAAATGGGTGTTTGTACGAAAAATAAATGAGCATAACGAAATTGTGAGATATAAAATCCGTCTTGTACTCAGGGATTCTCACAAAGACCTGAAGTAGATTTTGATGAAACATACTATTTGGTTGTTGTTTGAATAACATTTAGATATCATGGGAGCCTAGCAGTAAGAAAAAAACTAGACATGCGTATTTCAGACGTAGTTACTGCATATCTTTATGGCTCTCTGGATACTGATATTTATATAAAACTTTCTGAGGAATTCAATATGTCTGAAACATACAAATTAAACCCAAAGGGAATCATATTTCATCAAATTGAAAAAGTCATTGTATGGACTTAAACAATCAAGGCGAATGTGGTATAACCATCTCAGTAAATGTTTAATAAAAGAAGGTTATACTAATGATCAAATATGCCTGTGCGTTTTTATCAAGAAAAATGGATCAAACTTTGTCATTATTACAATATATGTCGATTATCTCAATTTAATTGGAACTTCTGAAGAGATTCAAACTGCAGTTGAATATCTAAAGAAAGAATTTGAGATCAAAGATTTTGGAAAGACAAAATATTGTTTGGAATTACAAGTGGATCATGTTAATAATGGAATATTTATCCATCAATTCACATATACCCAAAATGTATTAAAACAATTTTATATGGATAAATCTCACTCTCTAAATACACCAATTGTAGTCAGATCCCTTGATCTCAGCAAAGATCCACTTAGGTCAAGAGAAGAAAATGAAGAAATACTTAGCCCCGAGGTACCATATATTAGCGTTATTGGCGCATTAATGTACCTTGCAAATTGTACCATGCAAGATATATATTTTTGTAGTAAATTTACTAGCAAGGTTTAGCGCATCTTCCACAAAGCACCATCGGAATGGTATCAAACACATTTTCCGTTACCTTCAAGGGACTCATAACCTCGGTCTATTTTATTCAAGTGAATATCGAATTGAATTAATTGGTTATGCTAATGTTGCTTATTTGTTTGATCCACATAAAGCAAAATCTTAAACTGGCTATTTATTCACTTCTAGTGGAACTGCAATCTTTTGGAGATCTATTAGATGGACAATAGGTTTTAGCATTTTACAAAGCCAGTCGTGAATGCGTTTGGTTGAGGTCTATGATTCACCATATCAGAAAAATTTTGGCTTGATTTCTGATGTTATATTACCTCTTAAAATATTGTTTGAAAATAATGCAGTTTGTATAACTCAATTAAATGAATGATATATTAAAGGCGGTCAGACAAAACACATATCTCCGAAGTTCTTTTTCACTCATGATCTTCAGAAAAATTGTGAAATTAGTGTGCAACAAATTCGATCGTCTAAAAATTTTACAGATTTATTTACAAAGGTGCTACAAACTGCAACATTCAACAAATAAATACAAGGAATTGGAATGCGTCGGTTGAAAGACATAAAATAAAGTTCAAAACAGGGGGAGCGTATTAATACATAATGTTGTACTCTTTTTCCTTCACTATCATTTTTTTTCCACAAGATTTTTTTATAGTAAAATTTTAGCGAGACACACTCTTTGTATATAAACATCCAAGGATGAGTCTTACGAAATATACACATAGCTAGTATATACTTTATATATTTAATTATCTTTGTATTTAATAGACAAGTAATCTCAATCACTCACGTCTCTCAATTTGCTCTCTCATTCTCTCTCTAACACACCCAACACTCATACGTATATATAATACTCCATCTGTCCCATATCTATATGTCCATTTGCTTTTTGCACGGAGTTTTAGAAATATTAGTATTAAATTGAGATAAAGTAGAAATAAAGATAAAAAGACTAAATTAACCTTATTAGTATTGTATGATATAAAGGTAATGACATTTGCGTAATATGTTGTAAATTGAAAGAGTATTTGTAATGTTAAGTAGATAGTACAATTACTAAAAAATAAAATGAACTCTCTGTTATAAGACGGATCAAAATGAAAAAATAAATAGGATTTTAAAGAACGGAGGGAGTATTACATATATATATATATATACGGCACACACATACATATATTTATATATTTACTAATATTATATTATACTATTTATTATATAACAAAATTTAATTTTTTTACATATTCCTAACATTTAAATTTAATATTTATAATATATTAATATAATATAATATTTTATAAAAAAATATTAAAATTTATGATTTAGATATTTGTTTAATTTATTAAAATATTTTCTTCGGAAAAATAAAAATAAAATAATATTAAATTTTAATTTAATTTATTTTTCTACGTTACTTTCTTTCAAAAAATTATTATTTGAACATAAAATATTATACCTAAAATAAAAATTAGTACAAATTCAAATAACTTTTTCAAATATTATGTAAAAATTGAGTTTAAATAGTATTTTAAGTATGTTATCTTAGAAAAAAAAATTAAAAAAAATAATATAGTAAAATCTGAAATAAAAAATAAGAAAATAAAATTGAGATAGATTATACTTTTTATTTTATTTTAACAAAATTAGAAAGTAATAATATTAAAAAAAAATAGATAAATTTTTCAAAAATAATTCCACGTGGCAGCTTTTTATTGGAAGAAACAGATAAAATAGAAAAAATGGAAGCAGAGGATTTCATGCGGCCTTTTCGCTAGGAGTCGCCAGAACTCAACAGTAATGTATATATATGTATGTATGTTAAGATCATGGAGCAGATTGAATGAGTGTTTGCGTGGTCGAATCGAAAACCCTAGATTTAGTGTCAGCCGCTGAACGTGTCTAATTAGTGGCCCTTCTTTGCCTTCTCTCTGGACTCTGGAGTCTTCCAACTCAGACCATATCCATATGCGCATTGGTCCCATCCAGAAAGCAGCCCACAATCGATACATATTCTTGAATTTAAACTTCTGTACTGGGATTCCCCTTTTCCTGATACTCCGTTACAACACCACAATATCAGGTACTACACTTCCCAACATGATTATCCACTGATTCACTGTTTCTAAGCGATTTCAGGTAAGAGCCCACAAGCTTGTTTCTCTGTTATAATACTATTTTTGTATACGTTTTATTTGCTGATGTTGAAGGGTTTAGAAATTCTGATGATATTTCACTAGGTCAGTTTATGGAAAATCTATCACTCTCATGTAAATAACGGGACACGAAAAGAGAGAAGTAAGTAAAAATAGAGAGTGAGTTTGGATTACAACAAACAAAAAAGGAGGGAGTATATGTTTATCCTAAGTGTGAATAAGTTTGGAAACGTAGGAATAAGTTTATATGACAGAGGAGGGAGTATATGTTTATCCTAATTTGAGCGAAATTAATTTTGCTGTTAATGCCTTGATTTAAGCCAGCGATGTTAAATCTCTAAATGGTGCAAAACAACGATGGCATTCTTCACAGGATTGCTTGAAGTTGAAGACCTGCCATGGCAGTCGACACGACAGCTCCAAGTTATTGGTTCAACTGGAGGTTCTTACTCTGTGCAATATGGATCTTAGGAGCTATATTTGTCTCAGTGTATCTGATATGGAAATATGAATGGGGTAACAAATCCAAACACCAAACGAGCGGGAATCAAAAAGATTCATCGCCATGCCTGTATCATGGAGAAGCTTGGTCCACCTGTTCGAAATCAATCCATCCCATTTGGCTTCTTGCTTACAGAATGATTTCTTTCTGCGCCATGCTTGCGTTTATTCTTGCTGATACTATCGTCCACAGCCCTGGAATCTTTTTCTTTTACACTCAGTAAGACTGTTGCATGGATTTAACATAATCTTTTGCATAAATTTATTTTTTTACATTCAGTACTCTAGATATTTTCGGCTGTAGTTTGTAGTCTCATTTCTTCCAATGTATAACAGGTGGACATTTACAATTGTCACCATCTATTTTGCGGTATGCTTTTATTGCAGAAAACTGCTTTTACATTATTTTATTTACTTATGTTGGACCCTTCTGCAAAATTCCTCATTCAGTTGTATTTTCTAGCTAGCGTCTACACTCTCGATTTACGGCTGTCTGCAAAATTGTCATTCAGAAAGGGATTACAGTGCCGGCACAGATGCAGAGCAAGGCTCAATAGGTGGAGACGTTCAAAATGTTGCTAGCATGAGCACAAGCTTGAATCTTAAGGATGCCAAAAAATGTAGTGCTTTAGTATTTTGGGGAAATGCCTTACAAATACTTTTTCAGGTACTTTCTCGTCCCACTTGTATATACAGAATGTTCTTACATATCTGTAATTAATCATTGAGGTGTGAATTGGTTTGACATTGTTGAGTTACCTTCTTAGATTATAATATCATATGTTTTATGTCGCCTTCAAACAAGATCAAGAATAAGCCAATATTGTGGGGAACAGGATTTAATGCTGAAAGTATTCGAGATAACTCATAAAGTCTAATCAAGATCTGGTGAAAAATCATTAGAAATTTTTTCTTAGTTTAAATCAAGGTTGGTTGATAGCTAGCACTATAGAGGTCGAGCAAGTTAAAGAAGATGGTCCACACAACACAAGAAGTGTATATATAATTATATATATATATATATATATACCAGAGAAACAGAGAGATGCACAAGCATATTCATTATTGTATTTTCGGTCTTTATTTTCGAAGTGTCATTCCTTTAATGATTGGAAAAAAAGAATATTCAAGATCCATCCATATTCTCACTCAATGTTTCAAGAAACTTTCAACTTTTAGGATAGTTATAGATGTGTTTAGGTTATATAAGATAAGTCCTATTCTTAACTCATTCATCAGCTCTTTGATCTTGCTATAAATTTGTGATGACTTGATGGTACAGGTTGAGAGGAAATCAGACTACACTTCTTATTATCACATGCATGTAAAGGTTGTTTTGGGTTGAAATCTTAGGAGAGATTACTTTCTGGATTTTAGTAATAAAGTAGCCATTAGGCTTTAGGCAAACAGGTAGTACCGTTTGGTTGTTTTTATCGTTTGATTTTTCTTATCCTTTATTTAGCTTCTATTTACAACACTATAAGGACCTGAACAAGTGAGTGGCTGTGAAGTCAGTCGCTGTACACATTACTTTATTAGTGGTGATAATTTACTACTTGGGAGTGCCTCATATGTAGATCAGCTGAGGATCAAACTGGTTACTAATTTCTATGTATATTTTTTTTAGAAAAACAAAAGAAACGGTTACCAATCTTTTGTGGCTTTTTAGTTTCTGCATTACAACTGGCTTAGGTTTATAACCCTGTCCTGTTTATCCTTATCCTGTATTCGTCTACTTCCATCACAGGTCTGTGGTGGAGCTGTTGTGCTTACTGATTCTGTCTTCTGGCTCATATTATATCCATTTTTCTCTGGAAAGAATACCAAGTTGCAATTCGTAAGTATAGCTTTCTACTGGCTTGATCTCTATTTCTTTGGCTAAAAATGAAACCTAAAGAAATATTTTGTTATACTTGTGCCTTGTTGGTTCTTGATGGATCGTGTGAGAATCACACATGATACGTCTTATACCTGAAATCTTCTCTAAATCTATTTGTCTGGTCCTGCATTCTCTGTGTACAGCTCGCTGCTAGCATGCATTCTTTCAATGCAGTTTTTCTCATTGGAGACACTATGTTGAACAATCTGGTAAGCTCTAACTAAATAATACTATTAATTACACTATGCACTTAGATGTAATCCATGACTAACTGATTTGGCTGACTCATTTTCAGAAATTCCCGTTCTTTCGGATAGCTTACTTTGTATTGTGGACAAGCACATTTGTTGTCTTCCAATGGATCTTCCATGCTTTTGTTTCTGTGAAGTACACACTCTTTACTTTTTGCTTCTTGCATAATTTCTTGACCGATCCATCTTAGTTTGTCTAGAATGCTCGTTACTGAGAAAATCCGTTTTTGCTACAGGTGGCCTTATCCTTTCCTTGATTTGTCGTCTCCATATGCTCCCATATGGTAAGCATTACACTCTCATGGGACATGGAACATAAGTTTTGAGGTTGTGTTGCTTATTACTGCAAAAAATTTGTAGGTATTTAGGCGTGGGGCTGCTGCATCTGCCATGTTATGGGATCTTTGCTCTTATATTCAAGACGAAACAGTGTTGCTTCTCTAGATGACCTGGAATAAGGTTCTTGGCAACATCAGGGAGTCGGTAATTAATTGGGCCAAATTGTGACATATTTTTGCTTTAGTTGACACATGAATATTGTTTTTGTAGTGTGGATGAGGACTCGACTGGTTGTTCACAATTAATTATTGGTTTCACAATTTTCTTTTATACCCACATGACAGTTGACATCCTATCCCATTTATTCAACAGGTCACAGAATATATTTCAATTTCTTGTTGGCGTCATTAACACTGTCATTTTCAAGTCTATTATAAAATATGGAGTAGTTTAACAAATAAAGCATGATCATCATCCCATCCCATATACAATTTAAAATTTAGCAGCAAGTAAACGTCTACTGTAAATCTTCCACTAGACAATTGGTCCAACTTGCCCAAGAAAATGTCTTTCGGTATTGAATCATTGGAGCTTCAATTTTAAAGTGGCTTCTTCACCAAATCAAATATTGTCTTGGTAATGGTAGCTCGTCAAACCGTACCAAACTGTTCCCATAAACTTTATTATTATTATTATCATTATTATTAGTATTTATTTCAACAACTCTCATAATAGTACAGACCAGACTGTGCCCACTGGCCAATAGAGTTTGGACGTTTGTTGCAGTGAGTTCTGTATCTTCGCGCAGATCGCTTGAGTGACGTGTGATTAAGCAGACACCATAATTTAGTCATGATGCTGAGAGGTTATATTTATATTATAGTAGTGGGAATTGCATATAAGTTCACCCAAATACCCTTTGCAGTAGAATTTTGTTGGGAACAGCACTAAAGATCTTTCTATAATCGCACAAGAGGGTATGTTTATTTTTTTTTATCTTGTGGGGTTTTAACCCCTTTTCTGCGAGTCTAGAGTTGGTGGGTTTTGAGGACTTTTGAGAATGGCGTAGTAGACAGATGAGATGATGAAGAATAAGATAATGCTGGAGGGATAATGTTTTGCCAAACCATGGGACGACGAATGAATCTTCTCCTCCTGAGCTTGGGGCTTGTCGTTTCAGCATTAATCGACGACTGTGATTCAACTCTGTCTCCTTCTGGTGTGAATTACGAAGGTAACGTAACATTTGAATCTCTTCCTTCCCACAAATGGGGAATTGCCGTTACGATTATTGGTTTATCAGCTTGACCACTTATAATCTCATACATGCCATTTCAGTTGTGGCATTGATTTCTATAAAGAAAAGCTTGTCCGATCCCTATAATGCCCTGGAGAGTTGGGATATTTATTCAGTAGATCCTTGTAGTTGGAGGATGATTACTTGTTCCTCAGATGGCTATGTTTCTAACCTGTAAGTTCCTTACCACAGCCGAAAGACCCTTTATTAAATTACATGAATCCGACTTTGATTTGTGCTGTATTGCTATAGAGGCCTAACTGGGCTGAGCTTGTCCGGAGCCTTGTCGCCTGGAATCGGCAACCTGACTGGCTTGCAGTCTGTGTAAGCAGTTGTTTCAATGACTTCTGCTCTGAATTCTTGATTTGGCATCTGTATATTTTTCAAGCTCTTAATCTGATAGCTAGGATTGGTTTTCTTTCATGTTTCTTGTGTGTCTGTGTAAGCAGTTCCAATGATTTCTTCTCTGAATTCTTGATTTGGCATATCTATATGTTTTTCAAGCTCTTAATCTGATAGCTAGGATTGGTTTTCGTTCATGTTTCTTGTGTGTCTCTTAGGCTGCTGCAGAACAATGATATCAGCGGATCGATTCCAGAAACAATTGGGAAGTTAGAAAAGCTTCGGACACTTGATCTCTCTAACAACAAGCTTTCTGGTGACATACCCAACTCTATAGGGAGTCTTACAAACTTGAATTATCTGTGAGTTTTTGGGAATTCCGCCTACGGCATTCTAAGTAGTTGTGTAGTTGTTTTGCTTAACTCGCTCAAGATTGACTCCCTTGTTCACCTGTACTTGATCAAGACAGGCGTCTTAACAACAACAGCCTTACAGGAAACGTTCCAGCCTCGCTTTCTGAAATCGAGAGCCTTAGACTGGTGTAAGTCCCTTGCGATTTTCGGATGCATTATAAGATCTCTACCGTTGCATATAATCTAATACGAACAACGCTTGCAGGGACCTCTCGTTCAATAACCTTAGTGGATCTGTTCCGAAAGTCTCTGCAAGAACATTCAAGTTAGTTGTTGTCCTGTTACTACGCTGCAATGTTGTCTTCGTTTAAGGACTAACTAACTTAGTCTCGAATGAAATGATGCAACTCACTTTCAGAATAGTTGGAAATCCTTTGCTTTGCAAGCAAACTCCACAAAACAATTGCTCTGATGTCTACCCTGAACCTTTATCCTTCCCACCCAAGGCTGTGAAGGGTATGAATCATCCAATCCACCCGAGTTTTGACAGCCTTTTAGTTAGATCTGTCCTTTCTAACTGTGTTTTAATTTTTTGGTGTCTACTCAAATCAGAATCTGGAGCAAAACATCATGTTGGCATCGCCATTGGAGCTAGCTTCGGCTGCCTCTTAGCAGTTATAATGCTATGCGGCTTTATTCTCTGGTGGCGGTACAGAAAGAACCAACGAATTTTTTTCGACATCAACGGTGGGTAAAAATGTACATTTCGTCTCCTCGATTACACTACAATGCTTATTCTGAGTTGCGACAACATTGGCAGATCAATATAATCAAGATGCTCACCTGGGGCATTTGAAAAGGTATTCATTCCGGGAACTGAGAGCTGCAACAGAACAATTCGATTCGAGGAATATATTAGGAAAGGGAGGATATGGAGTCGTATACAAGGGCCGGTTGAATGACGGGACTGTGGTGGCTGTCAAATGGTTGAAAGACTACAATACTGCTGCCGGGGGCGAAACGCAGTTCCGGACTGAAGTGGAGCTGATCAGTTTGGCTGTCCATAAAAACATTCTCCGCCTTTGCGGATTTTGTTCGACAGAGAACGAGCGCCTTCTAGTGTATCCTTATATGCCGAATGGGAGCGTGGCATCTCGACTTAAAGGTTAGGAACTCTTGTTTGCCAAGACATGTCTACATTTTATTAATTATCTATACATGGTTTTATTACAGAAAACACACATGGCAGGCCGGTATTGGACTGGTCGAGACGGAAAAGGATAGCGCTGGGCACGGCGAGGGGACTGGTGTACCTGCACGAGCAATGCGACCCGAAAGTAATCCACCGGGACGTCAAAGCAGCTAACATTCTACTCGACGAAGATTTTGAGGCAGTGGTCGGGGATTTCGGGCTGGCGAAGCTCCTGGATCGCGAGGATTCGCATGTTACTACTGCTGTGCGAGGCACCGTCGGCCACATTGCTCCCGAGTATTTGTCGACTGGCCAATCGTCGGAGAAGACGGATGTTTTCGGGTTCGGAATTCTGCTTCTTGAGCTGATCACGGGAGAGAAGGCTGTGACAGACAAGAAGGGAGTGATCCTTGATTGGGTGAGGAAACTCCATGAGGAGGGGAAGCTGAGCTTGATGGTGGACAGACATCTCAGGAACGAATTCGAGGCGGCGGAGTTGGAGGAATTGGTTGAGGTGGCTCTTCTTTGCACGCAGTTTAATCCATGGCGACGGCCGACGATGTCGCAGGCGTTGAGGATGTTAGAAGAAGGAGAGGGGTCGGGAGAGAAATCACAGGCGCAAGCCTACAACAACATGTCATCGTCGTCGTCGTCTTCGATACGTCATTTTCATCATCATCGTCCTTCTGTGAGATATTATTCGAATTTGGTGGAGGAATCGGAGTCGGCTTACGTTGTTGAAGCTATGGAGCTCTCTGGGCCAAGGTAGCAGCAAATCAACTGAACTGAATGCGTATTTCTTTATTTTTATTTGTACATGATTGATGATGATGGATTGCCTCTGTTTATCCTTTGTTCTTTCTTTCTGTAAAAGTAAGGGAAGCACGAATGAATGAATGGATTGGGTAGGCTTCATCTACTTGTATGGGCCTTTTTTGTTTGTGGACTAGCGGTCCGCCCAAATACACCACTAGTTTTGTGGATATGGATATTTAATCTTAATATATTCCTTTTATTCTATTTTAATTGACATTTTTATTTTTGTCTTTATTTCGTAATAATATATTTTGTTTTAAGTCAAATTTATTAAATTAAAATATAATTAACAAACATAAATTAATTTAGTTAACTATGTAACAACAAATATTTTGTAAATGTGCATTGAAATAACTTGGAATTGAATATTTGAAGGACATTTTTTAACGTGGGAAAAAAGATAAAACGAAATAAAACAGATTATTAATCCAAATTTCAGTTTCAAACTCATGTAATGAACCTCTTTGGTTAACCCGAAAAATGAGATAGATCCGCGAGGAATCCCGTTCGGTAAATATGGTAACGGGATACCCAAAGAATTGATGAGCCGTATGAGGTAAGAAACTCTCAAGTACGGTTCTAAGGGAAGGAATTAATCCACCCATTCCGAGCGATTGTACGAATAAGGAAAAGATTGCAGACTTTGTCTACACCCTAATGGATAAGGTTGTGGAATCAGTAGTAGGAGTTGATAATATTGTAAAAAATGTAACTGATAGTGAAGCAAGTGTGAAGACTGCTGGAAAAAAACTGATGTGGAAAAGGAATCACATTCTTTGTTCTCTATGCGCATTGCATTGCATTGATTTGATATTAGAAGACATCGAAGATATATTGTCAGTAAAGAATACGATAAAAGAAGCAAGAAGAATTACATGATTTATATACAACAGTGATAAAGTGGTCAATTTGATGAAAATATATACAAATGGCCAAGATCTGTTGCGGCCAGGCATAACAAGATTTGCAACCGAGTTTATTGCAATGGAAAGTCTTCTAAAATATGCAACTGATTTGAAAAGAATGTGTACTTCTAGAAAATGGGTTGAGTACAATAATACCTTGAGGAGAAGACATGAAGCTAGAGATATATCAGACATGATTCTCAATAAAAGATTTTGGAAATGAGTATATGCCGATTTTGTGGGGTTATGGAACCCTTGGTGAAAGTTTTAAAAGTAGTTGATCAAGATAAAAAAAAAACTACACTACCTATCATTTATGAGGCAATGGATAGGGCAAAAATGACAATAAAAACCGTACTGAAAGATTTTTAACAATATTGGGATATCATCTATGAAAGATGGTATAACCAATTGCATCAAGATTTGCATGCAGCAGTTAATTATTTTTGTTGCTTTTTTTCTTTTTACATTGTACTAATCATTTATTTAATTTTTAATTTTATATACATGATTAGTCGCGCGGTTAATCAAATATTTCACATATTCTATTATCACAATTTAATGTAATACATGGGAGGGATCGTCTCCATAGGGATTGTGTGATTCACTCTTTCGCGTTCTAATTCGGTAAATAAAAAAGGGGAATTTTCTTTTATTATCTAATGAAGACAAAATAACAATACAATTAAATCAACGGATAACTAGCTATCAAGTGGATGGATGACTCAAGGGATGATACAATTATGATACTTGTGTTTTATCATAGATTCAATAAAGTTAGTTCTTATTAAAGTATCAATAAATTGGTTATAGTTATCAACAAGCTCTGACAACCAATTTTTCCTTACAGTGTAGGTAATTAAGGTACGACCGTTAACTACTTTTAATTAAGCTAATAAACCTAGGTGCACCCATAAGAAATATTGTCTAATTGCATTCTAATCTAGAAAAACTCAATTCAAAACAATTACTACCTAAGAGTAGCAATTAGATTCGATTGTTTAACCCCCAGGAAGGAACTATTCAACCCGATTGTCACATATTCAAGTGCGAATACAATTACGGATATTCTACCTAAATTGACTTTAGATTATCATACTAATTTAACTATTGGTACCAAAATATCCAATCAATCTAACAATCACAAACGTTATTTTCAAAATTAGAAAAAATATTGATAATTAAAAACAACTTTTATAAAGAAAGTCAAGAATCTTCAAAACATAAGAACCAAAACATTATCATCCCTTAAACCAGAAAAATATTGTAACACCCCCAGTTGGCTCATACTGGAAATGCTACCGCCACACTGCATCATGAGGTCGTCACCTCCTACTTCGGGCCCCATAACACAGTGTTAAGGCTAAAATTAATTATATAAGCATTTTATTATTTCAAAAAAACAAGTTTATAAATATTTACAAAAACATACTCCCAAAACGGGAGGTTTTTCTCTAGTTAGAATTTACATATAATACATCAGATGCAGTTCACTCATTCAGCCCGTCTTTCTATCTCCCGAGACGTCCCCTGTCCCGGAGGTGCCATGCGTACCTGAATCAAATATTTTTCTTAAAAGCAGTCTAGAATTAAATCCATTTTAAGAACTAACATAAAATATGCCATGTCATGCTCGAAAATAGAGTTTAATTTCCGTCATTTGCAAAATAAATGCCATGCCATGCCCATACTGAAATAATGTAACAATAATGTCAAAATCGACAACTCATGCACATATACCCATATACATATGTCAAAGTGAGCAGCCGGAATAACCTCGGCTCCATAATAACAGCTCACTAGACTATCATCAATAAATAGCCGGAAAATCCTCGGCTCAAGGAAAGACCTGGTAAACCCATAATAATATAACGGTCACCCGGTCACTCCCATATACCCACCATACGACTCCCGCAATCAATACATGGATAGTCGAACGTTGTCGCCATTAACCACAAGACACCCCATAGTCTGTGATAGCGAAGATAGGACCCTCCTGTCTAGCCCTACCCCGTGTAACGTAGTAGAATCCGTGCAACCTGGAATCACCCGAAGGAAACCCGGAAACTCTACTCCTCCTCGCACGCCCTAACGGGATCGCGTTTGGAGTTTGGCATCTGATCCTAAACTACCGGTAGACCTCACTAGTAGCTACTCCAATGAGTGGAACAACACCGAACCCGAATGATTAGACCAAATACGTCTCAACTGCAATGGGTCTAATCCCTGAATGACCGTGCGACTAAGTCACCCAGTTGTCCGACTACTATCGTCCACTATCGCCAAAGTGTTACGGTACATCGGGGTCGAATATCCTAACCCCAGATGATGTCCTCGCCTAGCACTACCGCACACGGCGACTAAACGATAGATCCATAAAACACATCCGATAAACCGTGCAATATGTGTGCAACATGTCAAATAAGTGAATTTACCGAAAAGGGCTGGTGAGACAGCTCACCTATCCTCCTTTTCATAAATTCACCAACGCGATCAAATACGTATATCAAATATCATAAACCGTGAAGTCTCCCACATGCATACGCACACATATATATATAAATATATACATGCAACAAAATGATTCACATAATATCACGTTAACATATTAATCAAAATCACATGCAACATGCATACCTAATTTCTTAAAATTAGATTTAATTCCCTACTGCTTACCTCCTACCGATACTTTCTGGATTTTATAACTTCACCCAAATCTCCTCCAACGTACACCTGTCCCATTATTTACTCAAATCAGATGAGCTTTATGCTTATTCTCAGGAGCTATCTGCTTATTCAAAAGCTAATTTCTATAATTAACTCGTCGGGCTCCAAACTTTTATATTTAGTAGAATATGATATTCTAGCTATAAAATCCTTCTACCTCATAATATTTATATTGCCCGATTATTAAATAAAAATACGCAAAGGTATGAACAAGCAGGCAGGTGCAATATACTGCCGTTTTTTATTCGGCTTGGATTGGTACGAAATTCTCAAAATATAACGTCGGCGCTACGAATAGGCTATTAGCTAAAGAAATTCATCGATTAAATAGCTAAATAGCCAATTTTGAATTTTTGAAGAATTTCTAATTTAATACTCCAATATCAAAATTCGTATTAAAATTTATAATCGGACTCTACGAATAGCAAGGAATACCATACCCAAGTCGGAATTGGAATCGGACGGCTAAATCTTTTTTTTCTTTTTTTTTTTCTTCTCCTTTCTTCTTCTCCTTCGCGTTTCGTCTTCTGTCTTCCTTCGCAGGTAAGTTTGTTATATATATATATATATATAATTATATTATTATTAACGTTATTATTATTGTTATTATTATTATTATTATTATTATTATATCTTCGTCATCATTACTTTTATTATTATATTATTATTATATATATTATATTTTATATTTATCTTTATCGATATTTATCCAATTAACAGTCTTTTTAATTATAACTAATATACAAAATTGGAATATAATTTATCCCAAAATATTAATTTCTTGATTCCATTACTATTGTCAAATATTTATTTGCTATAATAATATTATTTTATACATTCCGAAATCGGGGCATTACAATCCACTCCCCCTTAAAAAGATTTCGTCCCCGAAATCTAAACTCAAACACATAACAAGGCAACTTAATTAAACAATTGTGGGTATGCTTTGAACATTTCTTGTTCTACTTCCCACGTGGCCTCTTCCACTCCATGTCTGGACCACATTACTTTCACCATACGAATATCTCGATTCCTCATGGTTCGGACCTTTGTGTCCATGATCCACAGAGGCTTTTCTTCATACGAAAGATCTTCATTCAGCTCTATCTCATCTGGAGATAAAATATGAGAAGGATCTGCAACATACCTACGAAGCTGAGATATATGAAACACATTATGGATACGCTCCATAGAATTTGGAAGTGCCAACCGATAAGCCCAATCACCAACTCGATCGACAATTTCATAAGGTCCAACATAACGCGGACTCAATTTTCCTTTAATCCCAAACCTTCTAATACCTTTCATTGGGGATACTTTCAATAAGACAAAATCTCCACTTTGAAATTGACCCTCACGTCGGGCTCTATCGGCATAACTCTTTTGACGATCTTGAGCTGCCTTCATCTTTTCTCTGATAATTCGAATCTTATTTTTCGATTCCTCAATCATTTCCGGACCCAGTATCAGTCGATCACTCATATCGTCCCAACTCAAAGGAGTTCTGCATTTTCGACCATAAAGAGCTTCAAAAGGAGCCATTCCGATACTTGCTTGATGGCTATTATTATATGAAAATTCCACTAAATCCAAGTGGTCTTCCCAACTCCCTTGAAATTCCATAGCACAAGCTCTTAGCATATCTTCCAGAATACGGATAGTTCTTTCTGACTGACCATCAGTCATAGGATGGAATGCAGTACTCATATGCAACTGAGTACCAAAGGCTTCCTGCAATTTTTGCCAAAATCGAGATTGAAAACGTGGATCACGATCTGATATGATCACCTCAGGAATACCGTGTCGTTTAACCACATAATGAACATATAATTTGGCTAATTTCTGCATACTCCAAGTCATACGTACTGGAATGAACACTGCTGACTTGGTCAATCTGTCTATAATCACCCAAATTGCATCTGTTCCCGACTTTGACCTTGGAAGTCCTGTTACAAAATCCATTGCGATAGAATCCCATTTCCAGAGTGGAACTTCTAAAGGTTGTAGCAACCCCGTTGGTCTATGATGTTCTGCTTTTACCTTTTGACAATTTAAACATCGTGCAACAAATTTGGCTACATCCTTCTTCATGCCCTTCCACCAAAATGTTGACGTAGGTCATGATACATTTTATTTCCCCCCGGATGCACTGAGTATGGTGTATTATGAGCCTCACTCATAATCTGCTCTTTCAAATCATTTCGATCCTTTGGGATACACCACCTCCCGTGAAATCGAAGACTCCCATCTGGAGCAATATTAAAATTTTGAGTCTGACCGTACTGAACTTTCACTGCAAGCTCAACCATTTTATTATCTTCCATTTGAGCCGCTCTAATGCGATCATAAATTTCAGGCTCAACTTGTATCATTTGCAAATATCCCCGAGTCATACCCCGTCCAAGTACCTCAATTTCCATCCGCGCTAAATCTTGGCACAGTTCATCAGCAACCGACATGAAGCCCAAGTTATGCCTTGGTTTTCGACTTAAGGCATCGGCTACAACATTTGCTTTGCCTTCATGATACACAATTTCAAGATCATAATCCTTCACCAATTCTAACCATCTTCTTTGTCTTAAATTCAATTCTTTTTGGGTGAAGATATATTTCAAACTTTGATGGTCAGTAAATATTCTGCAATGGGCTCCATAAAGATAGTGTCTCCAAATCTTCAAAGCAAACACAACTGCTGCCATTTCCAAGTCGTGTGTCGGATAATTCTCTTCGTGAGGTTTTAGTTGTCGTGATGCATAAGCAATAACTCTTTGATTCTGCATTAAGACACATCCCAATCCCTGCTTCGAAGCATCACTATACACTTCGAAATCCTCACCTTCCACTGGTAAAGCCAAAATTGGCGCTGAAGTTAATCGATGTTTCAATTCTAAAAAGGATGACTCACACTCGTGATCCCAGTTAATCTTTGCATCCTTTTTCAGCAAATTAGTTAATGGTTTTGCAACCTTCGAAAAATCAAGAACGAATCGCCGATAATATCCTGCCAAACCCAAAAAGCTTCTTACTTCTGATTGATTGGTAGGTCTTGGCCAATCCATGATTGCCGCCACTTTAGAAGGATCTACTGAGATACCCTTTCCAGAAACAACATGCCCCAAGAAAGCAACCTCCTTCAACCAAAACTCGCATTTGGATAACTTGGCATATAACTTTCTTGCACGCAATATGTTTAATATTACATGCAAATGTTTTGCATGCGTCTTTTTATCTGGGGAATAGACCAAGATATCGTCAATAAATACCACCACAAACTGATCGAGGTATGGTTGAAAAATTCTATTCATCAACTCCATAAACGCAGCCGGGGCGTTAGTCAACCCAAAGGACATAACCGTGAATTCATAATGCCCGTATCTAGTCCGAAAAGCTGTCTTCGGAATGTCATGCTCTGCAATCCTTAGCTGATGATATCCAGATCTCAAGTCAATCTTTGAGAATATAGTTGCACCTCTCAGTTGATCAAATAGATCATCAATCCTCGGAAGAGGATATTTGTTCTTCACCGTGACTTTGTTCAGTCCACGGTAGTCAATACACAACCTCAAACTTCCATCTTTCTTTTTCACAAATAAAACTGGAGCTCCCCAAGGCGATGTACTAGGCCGAATGTAACCCTTATCTAGCAATTCCTGTAGTTGCAATTTAAGTTCGGCTAGTTCTAAAGGTGCCATCCGGTATGGAGCCCTTGATACTGGCTCAGCACCCGGCACAATATCAATAGTAAAATCCACCTCACGAGCTGGTGGCATACCCGGAATGTCATCAGGAAATACATCAGGAAAATTTCGGACTACAGGAATATCTTGCAATCGCTGCTCCCCTTGCGTCAAATCTCTTACCTCACACAGATATACTGGAAACCCCTTACGAATAAATGATTGAAATGATAGGGATGAAATTACCTTCATAGAAGGTTGTCTGGCAGATCCCGCATAATTCACCAGTTCGCCCATCGCTCCAACCAGCGAAATTGATCTTTTTCGACAATCAAATTGAGCTTGATATGCCACTAACCAATCCATCCCCAATATTACATCGAACTCGGATAGCTTGATGCCCAACAAGTTAGTAACAAAATCAACCCCTTCAATACTAACCGGAATCTGCATATAAAGCTCTCGGCATTCCAACACTTCTCCTGATGGAAGTAAAACTTCCACTACCACTTCTACTGATGAATTCAGACCCAATCGTCTAACTAGACGCTTAGATATGAACGAGAACGTTGCACCCGAATCGAATAACACAAGAGCAGGAAAACCGCAAACCAGAAATCTACCCGTTAAAACCTCACCTGGATGATAATCAGCTTCTGCTTGGGTAAGAACATTTATTCGACCACGCTGGTCAGGTCCTCTGCCTGGCTGCCTGGATGACGAACGTGACTGACTTCGTCCCCCTCGCCAAGATGATCCTAATCCTCTCCCTTGTGACTGCGAAGACGGCGGCTGCCATGGCCTAAACCTCGGTTCTGGAAACTCCCTTGCAGTTACCACACTTGGACATAACCTGGCAATGTGACCACTACCACCACATTTAAAACATGTCAATGGAACTTTATCACAACGAGTACCTGGGTGGCTTGTTCCACAACGCCGACAAACAGCCCCCGATTGCTGAGACCTCTCCTGACTCGGTTCATTAATCGAAATCCCCTTATACGATGGCCCAGACCTAAACATTTGCCACCATTTCTTTTTACCCTTGGGTTCATCCTCCACTTTAGCTTTTCCCTTATCTCGAACCTGATGTTGATAACCTATTTCCTTCTCACTCTCCTTTTGTCTGACTTCCTGCTTCTGATAAAATCGGACAGCACGCTCGTAAGCCTCATACAATGAACTGATATCCAACACCGCTAAAGCCTCTTGAATTCTGTGTTGCAACCCGTCTACAAAATGGTCAATTCTGTCTCGCTCACAGGAAAAGTAGTCAGGAACATACATCTCCAACTCATTAAACTTCACAAAATAATCCTCAACTGACATCGAGCCCTGCTTTAAGTCCAGCAATTCTTGCTTCTTCGCTTTTCGAATATGCGACGGTATAAACCTAGCCTTTAACTTTGCTTTAAATTCATCCCAAGTCATATCCACTTGGTCTACACCTGCAGCTTCTTCACCTAACCACCACCGATTTGCTCGGCCTTCCAAGAAATAGGCTCCAATATTAACTCGTTGATCTGGCGGAACCTGAACAACACGAAATATCTTTTCCATCTTTTCAACCCAAAACTCAAGGACTCCTGGCTCCACTGAACCAGAATATGTTGGTGGGTTATGCCGCATCACAGCATCAATGAAACTCCTCTGTTGAGGCATCATCGCGGCCATAAACTGCCGAAAGAAATTCTGACTAGGTGCCTCTGTTGGTACATGCGCTGGCACAGGATACTGTGACTCATCAGACGAAGGGTCAAACTCTGGGCCTTGAATAGCCCTACGTACACCACCACCTCGAGAATTCGACATACTGCCCCCAATTTTTCCTGATTCAATATCAATTCGGCACACAGCTAAACCAAGCATAACAATAAAAGATAGATCACATTGACATGAATGCACCCGCAAAACCCAAACCTCACCAAACCAATTCAATATCATTATTATTTTCAAAACCTTTTTAATTCAAAGAGCCAAAATCTATCAAACCTAGGCTCTGATACCAACTTGTAACACCCCCAGTTGGCTCATACTGGAAATGCTACCGCCACACTGCATCATGAGGTCGTCACCTCCTACTTCGGGCCCCATAACACAGTGTTAAGGCTAAAATTAATTATATAAGCATTTTATTATTTCAAAAAAACAAGTTTATAAATATTTACAAAAACATACTCCCAAAACGGGAGGTTTTTCTCTAGTTAGAATTTACATATAATACATCAGATGCAGTTCACTCATTCAGCCCGTCTTTCTATCTCCCGAGACGTCCCCTGTCCCGGAGGTGCCATGCGTACCTGAATCAAATATTTTTCTTAAAAGCAGTCTAGAATTAAATCCATTTTAAGAACTAACATAAAATATGCCATGTCATGCTCGAAAATAGAGTTTAATTTCCGTCATTTGCAAAATAAATGCCATGCCATGCCCATACTGAAATAATGTAACAATAATGTCAAAATCGACAACTCATGCACATATACCCATATACATATGTCAAAGTGAGCAGCCGGAATAACCTCGGCTCCATAATAACAGCTCACTAGACTATCATCAATAAATAGCCGGAAAATCCTCGGCTCAAGGAAAGACCTGGTAAACCCATAATAATATAACGGTCACCCGGTCACTCCCATATACCCACCATACGACTCCCGCAATCAATACATGGATAGTCGAACGTTGTCGCCATTAACCACAAGACACCCCATAGTCTGTGATAGCGAAGATAGGACCCTCCTGTCTAGCCCTACCCCGTGTAACGTAGTAGAATCCGTGCAACCTGGAATCACCCGAAGGAAACCCGGAAACTCTACTCCTCCTCGCACGCCCTAACGGGATCGCGTTTGGAGTTTGGCATCTGATCCTAAACTACCGGTAGACCTCACTAGTAGCTACTCCAATGAGTGGAACAACACCGAACCCGAATGATTAGACCAAATACGTCTCAACTGCAATGGGTCTAATCCCTGAATGACCGTGCGACTAAGTCACCCAGTTGTCCGACTACTATCGTCCACTATCGCCAAAGTGTTACGGTACATCGGGGTCGAATATCCTAACCCCAGATGATGTCCTCGCCTAGCACTACCGCACACGGCGACTAAACGATAGATCCATAAAACACATCCGATAAACCGTGCAATATGTGTGCAACATGTCAAATAAGTGAATTTACCGAAAAGGGCTGGTGAGACAGCTCACCTATCCTCCTTTTCATAAATTCACCAACGCGATCAAATACGTATATCAAATATCATAAACCGTGAAGTCTCCCACATGCATACGCACACATATATATATAAATATATACATGCAACAAAATGATTCACATAATATCACGTTAACATATTAATCAAAATCACATGCAACATGCATACCTAATTTCTTAAAATTAGATTTAATTCCCTACTGCTTACCTCCTACCGATACTTTCTGGATTTTATAACTTCACCCAAATCTCCTCCAACGTACACCTGTCCCATTATTTACTCAAATCAGATGAGCTTTATGCTTATTCTCAGGAGCTATCTGCTTATTCAAAAGCTAATTTCTATAATTAACTCGTCGGGCTCCAAACTTTTATATTTAGTAGAATATGATATTCTAGCTATAAAATCCTTCTACCTCATAATATTTATATTGCCCGATTATTAAATAAAAATACGCAAAGGTATGAACAAGCAGGCAGGTGCAATATACTGCCGTTTTTTATTCGGCTTGGATTGGTACGAAATTCTCAAAATATAACGTCGGCGCTACGAATAGGCTATTAGCTAAAGAAATTCATCGATTAAATAGCTAAATAGCCAATTTTGAATTTTTGAAGAATTTCTAATTTAATACTCCAATATCAAAATTCGTATTAAAATTTATAATCGGACTCTACGAATAGCAAGGAATACCATACCCAAGTCGGAATTGGAATCGGACGGCTAAATCTTTTTCTTTCTTTTTTTTTTTCTTCTCCTTTCTTCTTCTCCTTCGCGTTTCGTCTTCTGTCTTCCTTCGCAGGTAAGTTTGTTATATATATATATATATATATATAATTATATTATTATTAACGTTATTATTATTGTTATTATTATTATTATTATTATTATTATATCTTCGTCATCATTACTTTTATTATTATATTATTATTATATATATTATATTTTATATTTATCTTTATCGATATTTATCCAATTAACAGTCTTTTTAATTATAACTAATATACAAAATTGGAATATAATTTATCCCAAAATATTAATTTCTTGATTCCATTACTATTGTCAAATATTTATTTGCTATAATAATATTATTTTATACATTCCGAAATCGGGGCATTACAAATATCTACTCCATAATCAAATAGCAAATAACAATAAGAAAAGATAAAGTCATAGTCGAAAGGAAAAATCTATGTTGATTTGCTCCCGTGCAATCTGTGAATTTTTCAGTCTCCTGCTCTTGTGCATATCTGATTCTGGTCGTTCTCCCCTTCGTTTGCATGTGACTCTACCCGTTTTTATTTACTTTTTGCCCTAATTATTTTGTAGCTGGGCTTTTTGGCCTTTTAATTAAATTCCTATGTCAGGAGGGTGTGGTTAGTCGGTCATGACTAATTTAATTGTCCAATGCTGATTTTTTCTTTTATTTTTCTCCAATTTTGCTTTTTCTCTCCTGCATGTCGGAAATAAACAATACGCATAGAAATTAGATAAAATCCACTCAAAATCAATCAAATATTGCATATGATATGAATATAAAATGCATGCGATTTTTAGCAATCAATACATTTGATTCAATTTATTTTTTTAATCATGGTGTTCAATACTCTGGCACTTGTGAATTTGACTTATCGGATGTTCGAAAATGAGTAAGAAAAGTTGCTAAAAGACTCAAGCCAGATTTGAATATATAAGTAAATAATATGAATGAGATAAAATGTGTGAAATTTATAAATAATATTTCAAATAATTTTTTGTACATTCAATGAACACATATATATGATCAATTAGCATATATATATATATATACCTATGATCAATTATCACTCTTATATTTTCATTGTCACTCTGGCAAAATATATCCTACAGATTTCACTTTTTTGCAATTTTTCTCCTTCCTGGCACAATTCCACTCGCACCGACACCTGCAAGACACGTATCACGATGATTGTATTAGACGCGTAGCTAAAGGATGAAATTTTCAAAAAAGTAATAAATGTGGAATATATTTTTCCATAGTGATAAATAAAAAGGAAAAAGTAATAATTTTCAAATTTCGAATCTAAATATTAGTTTACATATTTTTAGAATTTTGGCTTTTCTCGACTCTAAACACCCTCAAACTTACGAAATATTTCACTGCTTGGTTTTTATGCTTGTTTCCGATGAACCGTGTGAAATTTATTAAATTTCTTGTTTAAAATTGATTTTTTTTTTTTTAGTGCATAAGTTATCAAGGCCCAAAATGACCTCAGATCAACCATAAAATATTATTGGTTGGTTTGTTTGGTTGTTTCGGATGAACCGTGCAAATTTTGTCTAATTGCGAGTCTAAAAATAGGTTTATATTTTGTTTGGTTATTTCGGATAAATTGTGCAAATTTTTTTAATTCAAATTCTAAAAATGAGTTTACATTTTCTTGCGTTTAGGGTTTTTAAGGCCCTAAATGATCTTGGATGGACAAAATAATATCTCTAGTTAGTTCATTTGGTTATTTCGGATGAAATGTGCAAAATTTCTCTAATTCCAAATCTAAAAATGGTTTTACGTTTGTTTAGCGTATTTAGTTTTTAAGGCCCTAAACGATTTCGGATGAACAAAAAAAAATCAGTGGTTAGTTTGTTTTGTCATTTCGGATTAACCATTCGAGTTTTATATAATTATGATTTTGAAAATAACTATACATTTTTTTATTATTATCTAAGGTTTTTTGGGCCCTAAATAACCTCCGATAGACAAAAAAATATCATTAGTTGGTTCGTTTGGTCATTTCAGATTAATCATACGAGTCTCGTGTACTTTTTAATCTAAAAATATGTGTAATTTTGAGCAATGATCATTTTTATCTTTTAATTATTACTCTGGAAAAATATATCCCACAAGTGTCACTTTTTTGCAATTTTGGCCCTCTTTAGCACAATCTCACTCCGCCCATGTGAAATTTTATCTTTCGTGAACTTCACGCGCAACCAGAGAACAAAAATTATAAAAATATGATACATGCGGGACATATTTTGCCAATGTGACAATTGAAATGCAATAATGATAAATGACCATAGGTATATGATATTTATTGCAATTGTTCCTCTTGCTTGGCATACTCCTAATTTGCTGAAGTTGTTGTTATTGAAGATGTCTATGAAAGAATGAACCCATGAGTTACGTGATTTTACGATACATGCTTGGGGACAAGCATTTCTTAAGTATGAGGGAGATTTGATGGGTTATATGTTTCAAGCACTTTTGATATATATATATATGCCTTGAATATATTTCAACTATTTTTTTTTCGCTATTTAGGTAATATTTCAGAAGATGATGCAATGGATGGCAAAATATGAAAACAGAGCAAAATGTGCTTTTAGCCATGCCTATGACTAAAAGCAGCCGAGCTCTCTGGAATTTCAGTTGAAAATTTGGAGACTCAAATCTAATGATGCATTCTACTGGAGAAAAGGCCAATTTACCCATATGACATCTATAATCAAATTCACTATATCTAGAAGGCCCTAAACATATGGTGAAGTTAGCCAACCAAGCTAACTTCCTTTACCTGTAAAGCAAAACAAGAAAAAAGTGGGTTGGATCGGTGCAAAATAATAATAATAATAAAAAAAACATACCCAAGAAGAAAATGATGGTAAAAATCATACCTAGACGTGGAGAAGAAAGGCACGAGAAAAAATTCTAAAGGGCAGCATTGCGACATTGAATTCCTAGAGGAAGACAACAAACTGACAGGATCCCGACAGAAAAGAAACTCACCCAGATGCAATTCTATCTTCCTTTCTTTGTTACTTTGCTTTTCTTTATGAGTAGCTAAATTTTTTATCTAGTCCAATGATCGATTGAGGATTTGAACTCCATAGTTTTGCGAGATTGACTCTTTAATTGATAATTTCTATTTTGTTCGTTGGTATTCGTAAAATTTTTATGTAGCATGCCTAGATTTATTTTCTTGGTCTAGTATTGTAGATATATATTTTTAGGTTGAGTTAGTAATCCATATTCATTGAATAATTGCATTCGTAATTGTGTGATTATTTGATCTAGTAATACGAACCATTTTAGAAATTTACGATATGATTCCTATAATCTTACGTAGGAGTTGGAAAATCATAATTGGACTTTTCCAAGGTTTAATACAAATGGAAAATTTAAATTGTTGTACCCGGATTTATTTCTTCAATTAGAAATTAATTAATTGGTGTACCTTAATTAGCGATTACAGAAGTAAGGTGCGTGTTGACTTTTATAACCAATTTATCAAAATTTTTTAATAGAAAAAAATATGCAATCGATGATCAAAACCCGAGGTTGACTTCTGAAATCAATCATTGGGCTAAGCGTTTTTATTATTTACATTCAAAAAATTTCATTTATTTAATTTTCTTGATTTCATTACTTTTCTTGATTCACTTTACTTTTAATTTTATTTTAGCTTAGGATTAGATAAAAAATTAGAAAATCCCTTATTTTAATTGATCCAACTAGGTGGAAGAAATAAATCAACTGATCCTTCCGGAGACAATCTTACTTTCTATACTACAACAATCGAATACAAAGTAAAAAAATTTATTGCACAGCTAGAACCCTGTCGCTATCCAAAATTCTGCTTTCAGACGGTCAGTGTGTTAGGCCTCTCTGAAGTTGAAGAAAGTGGATCCCCCGACTGACTCAAAAAAACCTTCCGAACTAGTTTCGAATATGATGAATGTCTTAACAAAGAATGAAATAAAATAAGGCAAGAAAAAATAGCAAAATTTGGCAGAATTCAAAACAAAGTAAAGAAAAATAAGGGGTGCGTTTCTTTGGCATTGGTTTGGAAAATTTTTATTTGGTTTCGGTTTGAATTTTAAATTTTTTTGTAATTTTGAGAAGATGCATTCCTTTGAGTTAGTAGGTTTGATTGGGATTTGAGGAGTTTTGATGGATAGTAATTTTATAAGTAATAATTATATTAAATTAAATTCTTTATTAATAATAATATTATTTTAATTATAATATGTTATTTTTATCATTAATAGATTATAAAAAAAATTGACAAATAAAACTCTTCTTTTACAGCCAATGCCGCAACCTCTCCCCTCTCACTGCTCCCCTCCTTCAGCTTTCATCTTCTTCTCCCTTTTTATTTTTCTTTTTCTTCATTTTCTTCTTCCCTAAGTTTTTTTTGGTTTTTTTTACAGCACTCTCATCGACCACCTTCTTCTTCTTCGTCTTTTTTTTTCCTTTTTTCTTCTTTCCAAATTTTATTTTACTGTGCCCCTTTCAATATTTTCTTCTTACCCTTTATTCTCCTTTTCCACCATCTTTTTACCAGAAATTTAAAAAGAAATCAAAATTATACGAAATAAACTCCCGTTGCCAGTAAAACCATATGCTTGGCTGCCGACCGGTGATTTTCTCCGGCTTCTTTCGATGTTGCTGCACCGATAGGTCGCTTTCATTGAACAATGGTGAAGATATGAAAAACCCTTCCGTAGAGCAATGGACTTCGGTTCCTCAAGTTGAAGATTTATTTGGGATAATGAAAGTGTAGTGTTAGATAGATTTCACTTAGGGAAATGAAAAAAACAATCTAGTCCCTAAGATACAGTTTCACTGAACAGTAACAACACAATAAGTTTGGGAAACAAAAAAGCCAAAGAAACACAACCAATATAAATTTGCATGAGTTAAAGGATAAAAATAAGCACAATGTAAGAAATAAAGAACAAGACAAAATATAAAGTAAAAAAGACA